CATGCCAGCTCCCAAGCCAGCCGGCCACTCCCCTCTGACCTCGGGCTAGTCACCATGCCTCTCTGTGCCTCCATCCCTTTATGGATGGTATCAGATCAACAGGGATCACGGTGGGCTTGGAGCAAGATGGGGGCCCTCCATGGACTCCACCTATCCATTCTGCATGTCGCTGGCTCACTGAGAGCCAGGCAGTTATTGCTGGTGGGGCTGGGATGGGCAGGGGGTGGGGCTTGAGGAAGGGTCACCCTCAGAGGCCTGGCCCCCTCACTTGGTGCTGCCCAGCTAAGTGCCCACCACACTGCGCCCGGCCCCATCTGTACCCAGCTCAGACCCCAGCTCGCATCACCCTGCAGCACCAGCCACTCCCAGTGCCTCCTTCTCAGACGCCATTGGCTAACCCTCCACCCCTACTCCTGCTGAAGACACGTGACTTGGGAGACCCCCGCCACTCAGGAACAGCACCCCCCAGGCCCTTGGCTCTGCCCTCAAATGGATGGGAGGGAGGGAGGGAGGGAGGGAGGAAGGGATGGAGGGAGGAAGGGGTGGGTGGATGGATGGATGGCTCGGCACATAGATGAATGGATGGATAAGGTGGATGGATGAACAGATGGATAGACACATAGGTTAATGAACAGGTAAATTAGTACATAGATGGATGGAATACAGGCATAAGACAGATTGCTAAGTGAATAGGTATATTAGTACATAGATGGATAGACAGGTAAGAAGCAGGCTGGCTGGCTGGCTGGAAGGATACATAGACACCATAATGAGTAGATGGATGGGGAGGCAGACGGTTGGAGACATGCATGAATGGGTGGGTAGAGAGGTAGATGGACGGAAGGGTAGACAGGTGAGCAGACGGATGGTAGGTAGATGGGTGGGAGACAGATGAGTGGCTGGCTGGATGAATGGGTGGCTGGATAGGGAGATGGATAGAAAGTTACAGGGGGAGTGGATGGCTGTGTAGGTGGGTGGATAAAAGAGCACACAGGTGAGTGGACGGAGGGTACACAGATGAGTGATGGGTAGGTAGGTGGGCAGGTGGAGAAGTGGGGAGTCTGGATCGTATGCTTGCTGCAACCCTGCTTTCTATCCTCTGTGCCCTTCCTGCCTCCAGTGCCACATCTCCCACACACGCGCATGGCATCACCCCCAGCTTCACTGGGAAGCTCAGCCAAAGCCCCACGGCCCTCACTACACCTTGGTCAGGGGTCTCAGACTCCAGACAGCAAGTGTCTGGGTCCCTGCAGAGGAAACAGCGGCAGCAGCTGCGGCAATAGCCGGGACCCCCAGTAACCACCACTCACGTGGCCACCGCTGCCAAGTATTTCCCCCCAGAACAGGCCGCAGTAGAAACTACTGCTACCCCCACTTAACAGAAGGGGAAACTGAGGCTGGGAGCACCATGCCAGGCACATCTGGTGGATGGCGGGGGCATCTCAACTTGAAAACAGACCCTAGCTCTGGCCCACCACAGTTGGCAAAGGTGCCAGCACGTTTCTCCTCAGCCTGTGCTCCGGGAAGGAGCCAGTCAGCTGCTGGGGCTGAGAGGGAGAGGCGGCCCTCTCTGTCCCCATCATCCTGTCTTGGGTCCTGCTGACTGGCTCCCACTGGATAATCACCCCTCTGGAGAACAAAACCTCCGGCTAGAGGATATCAGGTGAGAGTCACCTATGAACATCTGTGAGCACCTGAACTCACAGGTGGGGCCAGAGGCCCAGGGACTACATGGCAGGCCTCCCCGCCTGGGGAGTAAGGAGCTGTAGGGCTCTGCCCCGAGACCCACTCCCTGGGCCAGTCAGACCCAGCAGCCGCCCTAGCCGAGACAATCCTGCGGGCACCTTAGCCCAGGTGGGCCCCAGCTGATACCTGCAACATCAGGGTGCGTGTCTGCAGACAGCTGCTCATCCAGGGGTGGGGGCTCTGATCCGGTGGCTGAGGGGCTTCTGGGCTGGGTGTCTTCAGCTGTCCGCGTTTCCTGTGGGGGCGAGGGTGGGTCGCTCTGCACGCCGTGGGGGCCACCAGCAGGGTTGGCTTTGCTTTCAGCATCTGCAAGGACAGCAGCCGTCAGGCAGGGCTGCAGCTGCCTGCCATCCTCCCCAAACACCTGCCTAGGTGCCCACTCCCCATCCCCTTCCTCACGGAAATAAGTGGTTCTGGGCTTCTGGGGCTCCAACTCGGACACTGGTTAGAGGGACGGTGGCCCGTCACCCACTGCCCCCAAGGCCTGAAGCTCGAGATGGCTGGCCCACCTGTCCCTCCCCTGGGCGTCCGTCCGTGTGGGGGTGTGCAGGGTGGAGACCAGACCACAGCGCCCCCACCCTGCTGGCCTGGGTCTCACACAGCACCCGGGGTGCTGCATATAACCAAGGCCAACATTCACGGCCAGGGCCTGTGATGGGGCACTCCACCCAGTGGCACTGGCCACTGCTGTGTCCCTGGCACTGAGAGACTGCGAGGGAGCTGTGAGAGGTCACTGCCTGTCCCCAGGGGACAGATCAGCTGCAAGGGAAGCCCACGTACCAACCTCCCTGATGCCTCATCCCACCACCGGTGCAGTAATGGCGGATGGCCACAGGAGGGCGGGCCTGCCACAGGGATGTCTTCTCCAGGGGAACAGATGGTAGCTGTGCTCCTATGGGCGGATTCCATGATTCCCGAATCCAAACCAAGTGCCTTC